CGGCCGCAGGTGGGGGGGGGGTGTCGCCAGTGGCGTGTGCTAGCCGATGAAGGCCCACGAGGTTGGGTGGGTGCGGCCGCAGGTGAAGGGGGACACTTTTTATTCAGCGGGTGGGCGGCCGATTAAATATAAGAGTCGGGGCGGCCGAAGAGGATAACTTTTACTTCTCTAAAAGTTTTAGGGGGGCGGCTAGGTACAGTTCAGTGGAGTAAAAGTGAAAGTTTACTCTAAAGTGTTAGGTTATCGGTTAGAGTTGCTCTGACACAACCACAGTCATGACATCTTATTCAAGCAGTACGTGACCCTAGTGCCTCTTTGATTCACGGGTTTCTCGAAACCCAAGAAGTAAAACATAAGATTAAGTGTCTCGTCCTCTTGAATCCTACGTACAACATTATAAACTACATGATTTTTTGGTGAAATAGTATTTGAAGGCACAGGAAAACACAAGAGAATGAGATTGATGCCACTTAGTCCTTTCCAGATTTGTTCAGAGATTGCTTCTTTTGCGTCTGACGGAGTAAACACAGCAATCGATAATTTTGCAAGTGAAATGCTGTTCCCTTTTCCAGTCAGTTACGTTATTTCGCTCGCTCAAATAGTGGGCATACAGTTGCAGATCTCCCAACATACTCCAATGGCCAGATTTTATGACATTACTAACATCAGCAACCACAGCAGCTAAATTCCTCTGCTGTCCTACTGGGTCCACAATTCAGTACAATCAATTACCATCGGTCGTGCTGTGTGTTCTTCCAGTTGGTAGCAAGATCACATGCCATGGATGTATAGAAAGCAGGGCATTTAATCAAGAACAAGCCAAAGATTTTTTTTCTCCATTGGTGCAACGTTTATTCCCTGAAGGTCCCAAGTGTACATATGGTCGAATGTGCGTTAAGCAACCAAAATACCACTAAGTACTAGTATATCTTACAGGTAAAATGGAGCTTAAATTAGGAATTGTCAACCATCTTTCCGAAATTCGACAATGAAATTGCATTACAGCGATGAACTCGGAGCGGGCAGCAGGAAGTTGAGGAGAGCCTCGTTGAACCTCTTTGTGTCCTCCGCCTGCGGCATATGGCCAGCGTTCTTCAGGATCTCCAGCCTAACATTTGCGCCTAGCTGCCTGCATCAATTTGCACCCATCTTTCATGTCTAAGTTACAGTAGAAGGTGACACAACTGCAACCAGATTACACAACCATGTAATAAGAGTAGTAGTAAACGCTTGCTGACCTCGTCACCTGGAATGCCTTCTCTATGGGGAAGATCTGGTCATGCTCTCCCCACAGCACAAGAACTTGCTGAAAGATGGGGGCAGATAGGGTGAAGAAGAAACTATGAGTTTACTTTGCAATTTAATTACATCAATTTGCACTTTGTTCGTTGTGGAAAATTAGAGGATGTATGTATGTACCTGGGGGAGTGGAGTGAGTTGGAACTTGTCTTTGTTCCCCAGGGATATCGCTTTGATCAGCCCCTCCTTCTCCTCTATGTTCTCGCTGTAGAGATACTGCAGCAAAATGTTTTATTTGTGATTTTTTTTAAATGCTCCCAAACTAATAGAGGCATCCATTTTATTTTATTTTGCGGGAGAGAGCCATCCATTTCTGTTGATACAAAGTCCCTAATTAAACGTGACAACCTATTTCCCGCAAAAAAAGGGCCATCCTTGACTCTCACATGTTTATTATTTGTTTCCATATCAAGGTACTGGCATTAAATTAGGAAAGAATACATACTATTTAACAAGTATTAATATGAAGAGTATATCCATCAAGTTTGAGTGTGGTTTGAGAGTGAAAGATTAATCTTGTACGACACCTATGGTATCCTCTATAACACTAAGCTCCCTAGGTTTATAGAGCACACATTCAATTGAGGTCTCCAATTAAGATTGCGTCATCCGATTTTAACCGGGTCAACAATTTCTCAAAGCATTCCCACTCAATTCTTTTATATCATACACTATGCTCTTTAATTTTTAAGGCCTCACAATTAATTAATGTCTTTAATTTAGAATTGGTTCAACTCGATTTTGACCGGATCAACAATACTAAGCTCCCTAATTTTTAAGGCATCACAATCAATGAAGGTCTCCAATTGAAATTAGTTCACCCGATTTTGACCGGGTCAACAATTTCTCAAAATTCTCCCATTCATTTCTTTTATCTATCTATCTATCTGTCTATCTATCTATCTATCTATCTATCTATCCAATCAACCGAGGTCTCCAATTTGCAATTGGGTCACTGATTTTGACCGGGTCAATGATTCAAGGGGCTCTCTCTTCAATTCTTTTATCATCTAATACACCATGCTCCCTAATTTTATAGCCCTCCCATTCAATCGAGGTCTCCAATTTTGGCCGGATCAATGATTTAACGGCCTCTATCTTTAACTATTTTATCATCTATCTAATACACTATGTTGCTTAATTTTGGAGCTCTTCTGTACAATTGAGGTGTTCGTTGGTTCTCGACTTGGACTAGGTCAATGATTTCTCACGGAACTCTCTCATTCAGTTGAGGTATTAATTTTGGATTTGATTCACGATTTTGACTGGGTCAACAACTCCTCAAAGTAACCGGAAGCAACCATTTTGTAGAAACACATTAGTACCGTACACCCTCTCACCATCTAACAAACACATTAGTACCGTACATCCTTCTAATTAGGTACCATAGTTGAAAGTTTGTACACAATATATTGTTTATGCTGCAGAACCCGTACACATGGAATGTGATAACATGACAACAACATTGTTTATCAGACAACATATGCCTATCACGACTAAGTCAAATGAACACATGTTACATCACCTTCGTTATTTATGTAGGACTAACGATGCTACGCACTACCTCTACCTACCTATTTTTTTTTCGAAACGGAACTACCTACCTAATTATGCTCTTGGTGGAAGCTATGGCGGGGCCGTTGAACGGATGCTGTCTCTCCACTGAATGGTTGGCGGCTCGATGATACGTTTGGTCGTCGACATGGTTGGTCGTGCATTGTTAATCGTGCGTCGTCAAGGACATTGGATGACGTCGCTGCTAGTTCGTTGCGCGGTTATGGTAGCATTATCATATTGATACTAATACTCCCTCGTTTCTAAATTTTTGTTTTTTTGATATTTCAACAAGTGACTACATATGAAGCAAAATAAGTGAATCTACACTTTAAAATATGTCTACATATGGATGTATGTGATAGTCCATTTTAAATGATTAGAAAAACAAATGTTTAGAAACGGAGGGAGTATTATATATCGTCCTCCGTCGACAAAAACAGACATGATTGGCTGAGACCTGAGTTCATCTGTTAATCGACATGGACACTTGTGTCCGAGTCGTTCGCTGGGTGGACTGGTAGCTATCGCGGTGAGGCCGCCGTTGGACGAACAAAACTGCCAGGAAAGCCGCACGAAAATCAAAGATGGTGGCCATTGATCACGTACCTGAACGAGGTCGCGGAGCAAGAAGCCCGGGATGAACGGGCGGGGGCGGTGGTAGGCGAGCCCCATCAGCCGCCGCATCTGCTCGGGGGTGCGCGGCAGCATCAGGTCCTCCACGCGCTCGGCCCCGCCGCGCGCCAGCAGGGCGCGGTCGTCGGCGTCGCCCTTGAGCAGGTCCGAGCTCGCGATCACCACCCGCTCCACGGCCTCCGGCCCCAGAAGCCTCGCCACGTGGTACGCCACGAAGCCGCCGTAGCTGGTCCCGACCACCGACGCCCTGGCTGAGGGGGGCACGATCGCGCCTATGAGCTTCGCCACCGCCTCCGCCTGGTGGGCCTCGGAGCACTCTCCGTCGACCGGCGTGGGCGACGTGCGGGAGCCGCCGAAGAAGAGGAGGTCCGGCACGACGAGGCGGAACCGGCGCGACAGAGGGCCTACCTGGGGCCGCCACTGCCACGTCGCCGGCGGGCCGAAGCCGTGGAGGAGGACGAGGACGGGGAGCTCCTCGCTGGCGCCGGGCGGGAAGCGCCAGCACTGCATCGTGGTGGCGCCGCCGTCGAGCGGCACGGACGCCTGGACCAGGCCCGCCGCGGTGAATCGGCGCCGGAAGTAGGCGTCCAGTAGCGGCGCGATCCCGAGCGTCGACGACGGCATAGTTGCGGGGACTGAAGGTGGAGCGCGGGGCGCCTTCGTGGCTCGTCACGTCTGCTTGTCCCATGCGCGCGTGGTGTCGTACGTATATGTATGTCTGCTCTCGATGGAGAGAAGACAATCACGGGCTGTACCAACCGCCCCATGTCTTTTCTGAGGAGTCCGGCTCAACTGCGGCAGGAATTTCTTTTTTTTTTTGACGAAAAACAGCATTGTGCTGATTTCATTCATTAAGATAGGATGAGACACCCCAAGAAATACAGGTCAAGGTTCACGACGGCTGAAGGCCAGAAAGGGGAAGGAAAAGCTATACAAATGTACACTAGAAAAAGAAAGAAAGAAAGAAAGAAATTATCTCGCGCCTGTCCATTGTGCTCCTTTGAATCCAGCGATTCTCCAAGAATTCAGCTCATTGATAATGTTCTCAGCGACCTTCAGGAAGTGGTTTGCCTTGTTGTTGAATATGCGGCTGTTTCTTTCTTTCCAAACCTGCCAGGACACCGTCATTATAAGTGATGATAGGTCCTTTTTCCTGCCTGTACGATCCAGAGCCTTTAACCACCAGTCCAATATAGAGCCAGTATGAGCAATAGGTAAGAGGTTGAATGGAAAATTATATATCGCCAGGCAATAGCCCCAAATACCAGCCGTGAAGGGGCAGCTAGATACAAGGTGCAGACCATCCTCCCACCCTAAGTGGCATAATTGACAGATCGGGTTGTGAGGCCAACCTCGCTTCGCAAGGTTGTCCGCAGTCAAACATTTGCCCTGTACAAAGAGCCAACTGAAGAATCTTATTCTTGGTGGAACCTTGATATGCCAAATGATCTCAGGAAGAGGAGAATCAATCCTGCCCCAGAATTGACATAGGTAAGCTGACTTAGCATTATATCTTCCATCCGCTGACCATTTCCAAATGAACTCATCCTCCAGGTTGGAGAAAGTGACCACACTGGATCTGTGCCAGAAGTCAATGTATTCGCGCAACACCTCGGTGCCCGGGTTGCGCTTGAGAAGAGTGACCCATTTTCTATTGGTGAGTCCTTCAGCCAACGATATTCTTCTGTTTTTGCTATGCTTGAAAAGGTTAGGAAACGAAACAGCTGGAATCTCACCGTTGAGCCAGTGATCGTGCCAAAAGGATATCTTAATACCACTACCAATTTTGATGGAGGTACAAGCAATGAAAAGAGCCTTAACGTGCTTGTCAACAGGGAGCTGCAGACCTTGCCATGGTTTATCCGGATCTGTGATGCTTTGCCAAAGCCAGCGTACTTTAAGCGCCCGCCCCTGAGCTTGAAGGTCATGGATGCCAAGCCCGCCTACAGAGATGGGTGAGCACACCTGGGTCCAGCGGACAAGGCACTTGCCACCGCAGACAGCATCAGAGCCAGACCATAAAAAAGCACGACGTAGCTTATCGATTTGCTTGAAGACCCATTTCGGTTGATGAACAGCCAGAAGCATGAAAATTGGCATTGCCGAAAGTACAAACCTCACGAGTACCATTCTTCCAGTGGAGGAGATCCACCTAGCCTTCCAACCCGCAATCTTCTTAATTAACTTGTCAAGCAGGTCTTGGAAGTCAATGAGCTTCAACCGCCTATCAGATAGAGGCATCCCAAGGTAAGTGCAGGGGAAGCTAGCCAACTGGCATCCAAGAGCCAGCTGCAGGGGAGTAAGGTCAAGGCCGTCACACCGAATAGGAAGGATCTTGCTTTTAGCCAGGTTAGTGATGAGACCGGTTGCTTCACCAAAAAGCTTCAGCACTTCAGTTACAACCCCAAAATCATGCATCTCAGGCTTGAGGAAAATGATGACATCGTCTGCGTAAATAGATGCACGGTGTTTAACAAGTTGGTTACCCAGAGGGGATAGGATGTTGTTCCTTTGTGCTTTGTCCATCAACCTTCCAAGGCAGTCCACCACAAGCACAAAGAGCAGCGGGGAGAGGGGATCTCCTTGCCTGAGGCCCTTACGATGGAGGATTTGTTGAGTGCATTTGGAGTTGACTAATATTCTTGTGGAAGCAGAGAAAAAGAGGGCCGATATCCATCCTCTCCACTTCGGCCCAAAACCCAGACCTTGCAGTAGCTTAAGCAGAAACTCCCATGAAACTGAATCAAAGGCTTTGGTTATATCCAACTTAAGCATAACAGAGGGGATTTTTTTCTGTCTTAGGGTCTTAGCCATTGCCTGAACATAGACAAAATTATCATGTATGCTTCGCCCTTTAATGAATGCATTCTGACATGGGGAGGTTAGCTTGTTCATCCATGGTTGTAGTCTGGCAGCCATCATCTTGGCAATTAATTTTGCGAAGAAGTGGATTAGGCTAATGGGCCTAAAATCTTGAGGCCTAACAGCACCCTGGTGCTTTGGAAGCAACGCAATAACAGCACTATTAAGCAGAAATAAGTTTTGCGTGTTCAGCCCTTGGAAGTGTCTCAAAGCAGCAATCAAGTCATATTTGACAGTATCCCAACAGGTGCGAAAGAAGAGGCCAGTGTAACCATCAGGACCAGGGGCCTTCTCTGGGTGCATATCAAAAATAGCCTTTTTGATTTCCTCCTCCGAAAATGCAAGGTCAAGGGAAGCTAGATCACAGGTAGGGAGGTCAAGAGCTTCGAGGTTTAAAGAAGAGTTCCTGGGTTGATAAGTGCCAAGAAGATCATTAAAATGTTGCCAGATATGCTCCTCTTTGTTTTGCTGGTCAGTATATTCGGTGTCTTGAACTAAGATAGAAGTAATGAAATTTTTCCTTCTTCTAGCAGTGGCCTTCAAGTGAAAAAACCGAGAGTTGCAGTCTCCCTCCTTGAGCCATAAATACTCCTCTTTAAACCTCGACCAAAATTAGAGCAAAAACTACAACTCTTTGTCCCAATTAGAGCAAAAATTTTCCTTTTGTTAAATATTCCTTAGCAGCGGCAGGAATTTCTACAACACACTTTTCTTTTCTATAGATAGACTATCTTTAAATAGTCAAACTGTTTTTGATTTGGATTGCAGCAGAATATTAGACGTTAGAAAAGTGTTTTTTGAGGAGTATTTAACAAAAACTGCAATAATTGGGACAACCATGACCAAAAACTACAACTCTAGGAACCCTAGCAAAAAACTATTGTACCACTTTTGCTCTAATTTTTGGCAAAAAAAATCTACCACTTCTGTTAAATGACCGATTGAGCACAAATTAAGGATGATTATGACATGAATGGCCCACTCGTCGGGGGTCAACCTGGCACAAAGTCGACCTGCACCGTTATGTTGACCATTATAGCATGTGGGACCCACATGTCATTCTTAGTAAAAAAAGGCTCGCCCGCATGCATGCATTGGGTGAGCACGTTCCAGTTCATGGGTTCGGTCAACTCGCCCGCTCAACACTCACGCAGGAGAAAATCTGCCGCCGCCACGGGTAGCCGCCACCGGGCGCCGCGTCCATCTGCCGTTGCGGCAAAGATGCAGGCGAGGTGGGGCGCGGGATGGTGGCGGCGCCATGGTGAGGCAGCCGTCCTCGCGCGTCACCTCCAGTTGTCGTTGCGGTAAAGATGCAGGAGCGGTGGGGCGCGGGATGGTGGCGGCGCCATGGTGAGGCATCACTATTGTGCATCACCTCTAGCTGCCGCCAGGCCCTAATAAGTCTCAAACATATATATAATTTTGTATCGTTAAATGTTATTATATCATCACTTTTGTATGTTTTATATGCTACTAGTTCAAATATCCGTGCGTTGCAACGGACGAAAAAATTATAAAACCTGCTTCATGTGCCATCTCGTGCCTGTTTGCGAGTATAACTTCCGATCTATTCATCAACTGTCAAGATAGTTCAAAGAACACCGGAAGTAAAAAATACATCTAGGTCCGTAGATCACCTAGTAATGACTACTTACACTGGAGCGAGCCGGAGGCGCGCGGCTATATTCGCCCCTCCCTTATCGAAGTCGGGCAAATCTTGTTGTATTAGAGAGTCGGAAGTCATCGTGCTAAGTCTCTATAGGACCAGCGTACCAGAACAACATCCGCCGCCAATAAAGAGAAATGTAGATAAGAAGGATCCAACCTGTAGAAACACGAACACAGACGAACGAAGACAAGATCCACGTGGATCCACCAAAGACAAACAGTGACCGAACCCGCGAGATCCAATTTTGATAAACATCAGTAATAAGGTTACTCTCTTATTGTTGTTCCGAGCATGAAGTGTGGACGTAAAGAAGCCATCATAACTTCCTTCGTCTATTAGAAGAGTAGTGGTGCATGACATAGTTTGTCAATCCGTTTTATGTTTTGCTTTTCGGGAAAACATGAATATTTCTTTTGAATTTTTAATATTTTGGTTCTTTCTCTAGAAAAATCACGCACATTTTGAAGAGACCAGAACCGAACGCATGCATCTCTTTCCGTTCTATATTAAAAAGAGACTTTCCTAGCAAAGAATCTTAACATGCTATCCAACAGCTTGGAAAGACAACCGAGACTCCATTAAATCTCAGTCGATAAAGATTTACCAAATCCGTTAAAATTAGTAGCTAAACTCATTAAAAAAAAGTAGCTAGTTTAAAGTATCTCTAGCACAATGGCCCGTCCATTGCTACAGGAGAAAGGCGGTGATTGACTTTAAATGCATGTTTTCTAATTACAGTACATCTAATTCATTTTTTTATAAATATCAATTTAGTCAAACATGTGCGTGAAAAATCCTTGACGTTCGACAATGTTTTTTTCAAGAAAACTTAGTCAGCTCTTTTGTACCATTACAATATTTCTTTTGGATAAACTAATTTTGTCAAAATTCGCAAATACGAATCATATGCATAGCAAGTGCAACTTCATAGATAGATCTATTTATCGCCCACACTTGGTCGAATCCATCATTACCGTAATTTAGTTAATCCAATTAATTGGAAAGCAAGGCAACATGCTTCTTTAGAGGAAGGTCGATATTTATTACTTAAGTTAAAACTATATGAAAACAAATACTCCCTCTATAAACTAAT